CGTACGGGCCACCACAAGAGCGCTCAAATTCATCCAACTAGAAACGTTTCTACTCTAGTTTTTTTTCTGCAGCCGATAGCTGGGCCAAGTACTGGTGGTTTAAGGCTCAAAGCTGGAAACCAGGTCCAGCGTCCCATAAGCCGCAGCATGCAATCCTTCGCAAACTCGTAGCTGGAAACCGGGTTCAGCGTCCCATTATCCTGAACCGAGACTTTGCTAGCTCTACTACCATCTTCACTCGAATAGAACGCTCGGTCATTATCGCTGCATGTGGACTGAAAGTTGGGCCAGATGCATCTATAATTACGGGGCGCTCTATTTGGGTGAAGACGGTAGGGAGAGCGGGCGAGGGGGGAAGGGGTCAGGGAAGTCCACAGCGGGTCTCAGGGGGATCCTGGGATCAACTGCTGTCCAGTCCCGGATGACTAACCAGTAGTCTCTGGGCAGCTTCCCCCCTTTCACACCTCCCTCCTTCCCCAGCACCTATCAACCATTAGTGGCGACAGTCCGTCCCCTCACCTACATTCTCCCGCTCCCCATTACTACACCAAAGAAACCCTTCTGCTACCTTAACCAATGAACAGTATCATCCCTATCACCCAGCCATCGACACAACTACCACTTCCTCTTGTATTCGGCCGCTCTGCCTCCCGTTCGCACTAAGCACGCAGCTCACATAGTACACATTTAAATAAACTCTTCACCTCTTACACCACCCACACCCGTCTCCACAGAGCATCTTCTTCAACCCCTAACGGAGTATCTCCCTTACTTCCCCACCGCCTCTCTTTTCTAGTGCACACTCCAGTGCCCATCTCTGCTCTCACTAACCCCCTCTCCTGTCTCTACTCTGGGCCGCTAACAGTGAGATCCCACTAAGATTTGGAGTCTGACAGTATCGATCCCTCTGCGAGCACCCACCCTTTCGGTCTCGTTCGACATAGCTACAAAACAACACAATTCCTACAGTCTTCCCCCGAACAAAACGCACATATGTACTATTCAACTTTCCCTGGGAAGGTTGATTTCTCGAAGTCGCCCCCTGAAATCCAAATAGTACGCACATATGTTCCATTCGAATAGTACGCACGTATGTTCTATTCAAACAGAAGGGTGTTCTATTCAAATAGAACATACCACCAGGTAAGCCCCTTGCTGTACTTTAGTTCTTCTTCGTTGCCGATGACTCCTTCGCTCGTTACCTCCCCTGTCTCTTCCCGTATCTGACCGCAATTGCGGTTCAAGGAAATGAAATGCTGCGCTCGTTTTCAAAAGTGGACACCCTGCAGTGCTCCACCCTCCCTCTCTCTCTCTCTCTCTCTCTCTCTCTCTCTCTCTCTCTCTCTCTCTCTCTCTCT